TATGTAAATCTAAGGCAGAAGAGTTTGGAGCACTTAAAAATATTCCTTTTAATCCGCAATAGCAAATACTTTAAATATAAAATGCAATTCTGAAAAGCTACTGTCTTTGGGGGAGGAAGAAAGAATAGAAGAGCAGTTCAAGTACCAGTCCTGCTATTAAGGGCAGGTTGAGCTCTTCTAGTTGTAATTTATATCTCAGCAACAATCCCAATGTTTTATTCCCAGCCGTTAAAAGGGGTAACACATCTGCTAGAAGTCTAGCACAATGGCTGGCTTTACACTGCAACAGGAAATGTAACCCAATAGTCTCAGAACTTCTCCAAACCCTAGCCCTTTCTTAATGTAAAAAGATTTGAAAATTCAGTTTGCTGAAACATCTGTTAAGCTCTTGCTACTCTAACACATGATATTCTTTCTGCTTTGTTACCTGCCAACAAAAATATTTGATTCCATGTAAGACTATCACAAGTGTGTGATAATGGCACTCTGCTTCTAATTTTATATGCCTTTGTACACTCACAAAATCACCTGGGGGTGACACTAAATAACATACTCAGTGTAAGCTCAAAATTTACAATAAATGTATTTAATTTTAATCTTGTATGTAAATAGTAACAAATCAGATATATTCTCAATGACTAACATTACTTTAAAACAAAAGAAACAACTTAGTCAAACTGTTCTTGAGCCAACTTTCAAGGAGAGATAAGGAAAGAGGAAGAGGGAGAGCGAAGGCAAAAGGAAAGTGGACTAGCATGAAAGAAGAGCAGTCAAAAGAAAAAAAAAAGTAGAATTAAAGGCCAAGGAGGCAAAACCCTGAAGCCTTGGATCACACCAGCTACGCATGTACGTGGCCTGTTACTTTCAGAGTCTCACCTCCAATCTGTTATTTACAGTGGCCGCTTGTTTCCATTTACATTTAATTATACTATAAATGTCTCCAATTTACTGAGTAACTATATAGTGGTGAGTAAAAGGGAGGCACTTTGAACATTAGTGGAGCTACAGTTACTACCATAATAAACTGGTAATTATTTGCAACTGTCACTTTCTACAAAAAAACCCAACAACTTCTTATTCTCCATTCCTGTCTAGCAAATCCTTGTAGACTGTAGATCTTGAAAAGAGGTGGGGGGGGGGGAAAAGGAACAGTCTTTCAGTTTCCAGTGCTTTACTTAACAAAAGTTCTTCCTGTATACTACAACTATCAGTGTTTCAAATATTGTGTCGTTTGAAAAGCTGAGCAGACAGCTCTCTGTGAGTCAGTGGAGGAGTTAGTTCACTGTCACCAGCACAAGCACAGCACAGCTGTAACATGGTCGTCACTCATAAAACAGCTTTGGAAAATGTCAAGCTGCATTTCTACTTGCAGTAAAGTCTGAGCGTTTGCAGAAGCAACTAAAATTATGCCTCTAATAGCCTCACACTTTAAAGACAGACAAACTCTACCTAAGTATGGTTGGCTTTTTAGTAAAACCAGATTCTAAGTGATCTGCAAACCTTTTGTTTAAGTAGAAACTTATAAACAGACTGACTTCTTAGTGTCCTAATTTACCAAAATCAAGTTATCGTAGCCTCAGCAAACAACAGCAAGCAGGTAAGAGTGTGATATGAGAATACAGATCCTCAGGGCTTGGGGGAATCAGCTGAAACTGAACAGCTGCTGTAGTGTTCCCTAAGGTAAATTCCACCATGCTGAAGATCCCAAGCACCGCAACCAGAGGTGCCTGACCCCTCCCCAAAACAGTGACTCACAGGATGCTATAGCTTGCACTTCTGAAGAAAATGCTGCATCCTCACCGACCAAAGATGAGGAGCTATTCAACACTCAACTGAACAACTACATTTAAATATATATATTTCAGATACACAGTATATATTTCTTCAGTGTCAGAAATAAAACTAGTTAACCACTAAACTGTTATGATTTCTAGTAAATAAACCTTAAAAAGATTATTTTATAAGTACCACAGACAACTAAATCAAAAGTGTGAAGATTCATTTCTCAGTAGCAACTTGCAGCCAAGATGGAATATAAGAATTATATTGTTCTGGAAAAAAATAGTAGGGAAACAAATGCATTTTCTCATTTTCTCCTGCATCTAGCATCAAAGTTTCCAAAAGTATTTAGAGTATTATTTCTGAGGTATCCACCACTCTCAGAACATCTAGTGAAATCTATTTTTGTGAAATAAAAATTAAAGATGAAATTACTTTTTATTAGAAACTTTTATTACACTAATATGAGAAGGCCCCAGTTAGAATCATGTCTGTGCAGCTGCAGTCTCTCTGTGTGTGTAGATATATATATATGCACATATATGCATGCATCTATACAGACTCCAGGAGCCCCTACAGCTCAAAACGTGGCAAAGAGTTCCAAACTGGCTCCAAAAGGATTAGGCTCTTCAGATACCACCATGCTGCTGGAGCAGCTAGAGCTACCACCTCAGAGATCAAAACTGGTACAGGCACAACTGCGTGGCACCTTGCCTGACCTGACAAACCTTACCTCTCTCCACACAACCTGGGCACAGATCTCTCAGCTTTTGTTATGGACGCAGCTCAGCTGCAGCTCCTTTCAATGCTGCTGCATTGTGCAAAGCAGACAACCTTGCAAAATGGAGGAACACACAGTTCACAGCCTTGGGACTGCAGCTCCAAGCTGGAAGATACACACCCAGTATTCTGACCAAAACACTCGTCTAAGCTCTAGGGGGAGCTGTCATAAAAATACACAGAGGAAGCCCACAAAAAGATCCTCAACAAAGTCTGTTCCAGGTTGGTGACAGCACAATCCCCCCCAGACAAGAAGCAGCAAATTATTTGTTTCATAAAAAATCTTAGAATAGAAAATCTCTTATAATGCTGATGTTGGGAATTTCAGCTCAGCTTGTTTCCATACCCAGGAAGAGGCACTGTTCTAGCTTTGCTGACGAACGAAACGTTGGTCAAGTTCAGGGGAACACAATCCTATGAGAACACGAGTTATAAAACTGCTGTCCCTCTCAAACCATACCCTCCATCATAACATTCAAGTCCCCTCAGTGAAATCCATACAAACATGAAGGGCTTACTGGAATCATTTGGCTTGCACTATTATTCAGTAGTGATAATTTTTTGTACTATATATACTATATCATACCACTCATAAATAAATAGATACTATAAAAAAAACCTATCAATTGTTTTAAAGAATTCAAAATGAACTCCAGTGTTTTATTTTGTACCTTAGAGGATCAGATTATCTGGGAAACAAACACAAAAGGTTCCTTTGTGAAAATATGTCAGAGCAAATAAAACTAACAATTCATAAAAGTTCCACAGATTAAATCCTTTTCATGGGACATTGATAACATTCACTTATTCATTCTCAGGAGAACTTCAAGAATTTGTTTTAGAAACGATCCCTAACACATCAGAGACATGGTTTTAAAGGTCCTGGTCAAAAACATGCTGTTAAAAGACATTACTTGTCCCAGGGTGCCAGAACGCTCACTTACCAGTCTCATGGACATAAAGAGGTTCTGCATATGTACAGGCTGCAAACTGCAGGCAGAGGTTAGAGATGTGAAGACTCTCCTAACTAACACAGTGTCAGTGCACAAGAGCAGTGTTTGCATTTTTGCTCCATGGCTCATACTGAATACCCAGTATTGTTCAAGAAGCTGTTCATTTTTTGACATATTAGCAGAGTTTCAAACACTGTAAGACATGTTTTCCAAATATTACCCCAGCATAAATTCAAACTAATTTCATTATCTCAATGATAATGAAATGTATAAGCAAACATTTTTTGTGCAGCTATACATACAAATTGCACCACTAATTTGCTCAGCTACTATAGGTCACATGGTAGATAAAGCTATGTAAGGATGGATCCCTCTGCCTCAACAATTCCTTCTCTGCTTTTTATTTAAAAAAAAAAAACAACAATTAATTTGGTCTGCATCACCAGCTCTGGGAGACAGCTTACTAGTTACATTACACCACAACCACTCTTGTCAGTTGTGAAGTCTTCTGTAGAAGGGGCCTGGTTTGGGCTTGTACAAATTCCAATGGCTAGGTGAGTTCTGCAAGCATATGAGTATTTTCATTTCCCTGATTTGTAGCTGCAAATATTCAAGGGAGACTCCCTCTCCTTGCTCCCCTTTTGGGAATATCCTTCTTTGTCAGGGAATAAGGGATGAAAAACAGTCAATATGGTTAAAGGGAATAAGGGATGAAAAACAGCCAATATGGTTAAAGGAAGCCAGTTCTCAATGAAGTACATGTCTTCCTGTGCCTAAAAATGTACTTTGGGCTCCTTATAAGCGATCTGGGTAAGAGGTTCCAGGGTAACCCCCTCCAAGTGCTAGAGATGCTGAAAATTTTTATACAATGAAGCCTCATAATGTTGAAAGAACTGCATAGCCTTCTGTTCCATCATGGTTCCAGACTAAAGTCCAGAAGAGAAAAAGGGAAAACACCCCTTGCCTTCAGTGCTTTGTAGGAATCAATAAAGTTGTTTTGGTTTTTTTTTTTAAATATGAATGAAGGTGCTTTTACCAATGAAAGCACTTTCCCTCAGCTATTAATAATGTCTGTAGTATCTTTTCTAACTAGAGCATCTGTTTACATAAAAAAATGCAGTCAAGCATATTCCACTTAAAAACCAAAACAATTTTTGGACGTTTTACATATACCGAGCCCAGAAATAACTCTACACTCTCCCACACCTAAGATGTAAAACTACCTTAATCACAGTAAAAATCACATATTCAAACAAAGAAGACATGCTACCCATCTAACAAGGTACCTTTAGTGAATATTGACAAAGTTAATCTAAAATGGTTGAAGAATTCTCTTCTAGAGTGCTATCTTGGCACAATGTTTGTCATTAAAATCAGGGTCGTAGCTATAAAAGGTCAAAGCAGATACAGGCATCTGGATTTTTATAAGTTTAGCCCCCCTGATTTGAAAAATGAAGATGTGTAAAATACTGGAAGTTATTCACTTACCATGGACTTGGTGAAAGGTCGAGCCAAGGTAAACAGCAGGGTATACACCCACCAGTTACGATGAATGGAGGAGTAAATCATGTTTCCAGGATGCACTGAGTTGGAGGTCACCCCGTGGGGAGAGAGGCGTCGGTTCAGCTCGTTGGAGAACAGTATATTGCAAAGCTTGGAACGGTTGTAGGCCAACATAGCCCAATACTCCTTCTTAGATGGAGAAAGCAGGCTGAGATCAAGTTTTCCAGAGGAGTCTTTAATATCTATAAATCTAAAAAACAGTAAATATGCCTTAGATATCCCAGAGTTAATTTCGCTCTCACCAGTAACAATGGAAAATGTAGGCAACAGAAAAGAACTTGGCCAGAACCAGAATAAAACAACAGAACCAGAATAAAACAACAGAACCAGAATAAAACAACAGCTTCTTTAGCAGTTGAAACCATCTACTGGAAAATGCCGGAGACATGAGGAATAGTGCCATATAATATAGCAGTAAAATTACTGAATAAGTAGCAAAAGCAAAGGATGAATAAAAACAAGTGAAAAAAGGTTTTCATAATTAACAGGCATTGCATGCAACTTAAAAATAAATTTATTTTAAATAGCCAAAAAAAAAAAAAAAAGATTTTGCCACAGATTCATGAAAGCACAAGCAGCCTGGTAGAAATAATGTAGGATAAAATAACTACATTAGAAGCAGGAAAAAAGCAACATCCTTTCATTGCCCCTTCTTCCCTTCCCCTGATTATTTCATCCAGTCTTCACATACTGCACACTTTCATTTAAGTGTTCAAGTAACTATGGAAGAGACTAACTGCCTCTTAGACTCTCTTTTAGATTAAAAATTGATGAATATAAAGGGGTTATAACCTTGGTAACATGCCATCAATAGTCTTATATGTTTAAAAGATAAATGTAAACAAAGCCAAAATGAGTTCTGGCAGAGTATAATGTTTTTAAGTATACCCATGGCATGGCTGAACACAAATCAAAGTAACTAGTTGATGTTTTTTAATTGGGTCTGACAGAGTCATTAAACACCAGCTGTTTGTTTCTTTCCTTCTTTTTTTTTTTTTTTTTAGTAACAAAGTAGTGAATGCTTTAAAGATATTTAGATGAATGAAAGGAAGTTTCCATATAACATTTTTCACCCCAACCTTTACAATTTAATCCATTAATTTACTGGTATAACCTAATATTAGGAAATAATACTACATTTAGTTACAGATCTATTTCATTCAGAAGAGCTACTAAAAATAAAAAGGGTTTAGCAAGCTCTTTTTAACACACAGTTTTCAGAATCAGCTGGGGAGAACGGGGATAAACATAATTATAGCACACACTAGAAAAATGTTTTAAAATATCTTTACTAATTTTGCATGTCATGCCCAGAAATGAAGAGATCAGCTGGAATTTCTACATCCATTCTGTGAGCAGAATTATAATACACTCAGAGAAAAGCAACTACAGTGTTTGAAGTCAAGAGGAATGCAGGATGTTCTCTATCTAGCAGAATTAGCCTTTCAATTTCAACAACAAAATTTCTCTTTCATAATTTTCGGTTAGATAAATCACATTTCTGAAATTAACAGGACTATTCTGAGAGGAATTTCCCATATTCATTTCTCAAGTAATAAATTATGGCACCAAAAATAATCTATAAATAAAATACTTTGTGTATCGTGTGTAATGGAAACACAGTGGCATATTTTGAGTCCTGTCCTGCAAGAGTGCTTATGTGAGTCAATATTCCTTATGTCAGCAATCTCAATGAATTCAGGATAAGGGCTGTACAATCAAATTAACAACACAGATATAAAGACAGAAGGAAAGTCAACCTACTTATTATTCTGATTTTAATATGATGTGCTTAAAGTACCCAAAAGCTTAATTTAAACAGAATTCATTTCTGCTGAATCCAAAGAAGTAACTAGAAACGAACAAAAAACCAGAGAGGCAAATAAATATTTTGCCTTGGAGCAGTCTAGTGTAATATTTTCTGCAAACATGGGCCTTTAGTTTTCCCCTAACAGGGGGTCTTGACTCCAGTGAAAAGATTCAGCCAAGGTTTATTGAAGTAATTAGATACCAACACTTCTGTTTTACAACATAGTTTAAGGCTCAGAGTTCTCAAGTAGGTCAGAAAGTACTCCTACCTAACATCTAAACTAACTCCTTCCATCAACTTCTTGCCATTAAATAGACTGGGAGGAGAAAGCACAGTAATTTACACTGATCAGTTTTAAGTGCTAAGATATGCCATAATACATGAAGTAGACGTCTTACAACAACAAACAAACAAACAACAAAAAAAAAAAAAGGAAAATATACTAGTTATGTTGATTATTTTATTCAAACACACACTGTTATTATTTTTGGATGGACTTCTACAGAACTGGGCTGATCCTATTGATCAGCACTTTAAAAAATGTTTTCAAAAACAGAGATAAAGATGTCCAGAGATGTGAGCTCTAGTTACACATCACACTTGATACAGTGAAAAACAAAGATGTCATTTAAAATACTATCAGAGATACAAACTTACAAAGGAGAACAAGCAGCTGACAATTCAGCATAATCTCCCATTAAATAACAGCTCATTTATACGTATCCCGTTGTGCCCTCCACATCTGGCAAGTGATTGGAGTTGGCAGATTTATTTCTAGAGTTATCTTGCCTGCCCTGCAGTAGCCTCCCTCACTCCTAACAGGACCCTGCTACTTGCTTTCACAGACCTGGTGTGATTTGCAAAGATAAGGATGTCCAGATTTTGTTACCACCTAATTACTAGACATTTCATGTCTTTTAACACCGGGGAGGATTATTACTGGCATTTTCTATTGCTTCCTTTCATTTCAGCCATCATAAATTTAAAATGGTAAAAGTAAATCTATCTGCAGTATGTCATTTATACCATAAGCCCCTGTGTTTGGAAGTGATAAAGGTTTCAGACCGACCCTTGGCTGGTCTCTCTCTACTAGGTCCCTGGGGTTACATTTTATGGAAACATGATTAAAAAAATAAGCTTCATTCTGGGTCACTAAAACATTTCAGAAATATGAAGGTGGGAAAAAAAAAAAAATACACCACTCACACATTTTTCCTTTTGGTTTGCAAGAGCTATTACACATGACCAAATGTGAAATTGAAATCAACAGTAATGTTTTAAACTGGACGTTATAGGTCTAATCCTGCAATCCCTGAACTAAATCAGGAGGCAGTAAGTGGTTTGTGCCTCCTAAAATGCAGACTTGGGCATGCATTTGCACAAGGAACTTTATTTAAATCAAATCCATCTCTTCAGTTATTAACACAAACACTGCAAACATGTCTGAAATAAGACAAACCTCATCAACATTTTTTTTTGCCAGCTGTACTTCTCCTGGCAGTAGAAAAGACGAGCATCTAACATTTTAATTAAAAAATTCACCAAAAGAAGCATGGCCAGATTTCTAATATGTATTAACTACACTACTTCCCATTTTACAATTATACAGCTAATGTCTGCATTGAATTCCCTAATTTCTCATTATAAAACAATTGGATTTCATCTAGCAGTTTTTAATTGCATTGTTTCTCCTGCTAAAATAACTGCACATTCTTCTCGGTAAGATGTTGAAGTTGTTGAATGACAAATCAATATAGGTCATGCCATTCAGATTGAATCAATTATTATTCCATCTCCTCACAAAATCAATGAGCGGTCTGAAATGCAGTGAAAATCTGCATTCATACAAAGAATGATCAAAAAATACCTACATACTGTTATAAAACTAGAACACACTTTATCCAGCAACAGAGTCAAATCCAGTAACATCCACAGGCATTAGTAATGCTTCTATTTTTAAAAAGATTATTCAAACACAAATGCTTCAGAGCAAGGCCTTTCATTTTCAAAAACTTCTGCAGTTCTGCCATAACTGTTTTATGCTCTAAGGATTAAAGATTTCAGCTAAATCTTGGTAACATTCACCAACCTGTGTGATTCGGAGGACACAATCACAACCCTGGCGGGGGATGACCGACGTAAAACATCTTCCAGAAGCCGGACAAGATAGAAGTGTCCCAGGTGGTTCACTTGGAAGGTGGACTCCAGGTCATCCTCCGTCAAGGACCAGGGAACACCGAACACGGCGGCGTTGCAGATCAGTATGTGGAGAGGCCTGAGCAGTCAGAAGTACAGAATAAAATCGACCCGGGAGAAAGAAATCTCAACAAAATACGTGTTATTACATAATAGATGTCACATGTGTCATTCCTGAACCGGGCCGAGGTGTCTCGGGTGGAGGTGTGGGCAGCTCGGGCCCTCGTTGGGGCCGCGCCCTGAAGAAAGGGCCAAAGGCTCCTGGTGGGGAGCAGTGAGGGGAGCGGCAGGACACAAACAGCGGCCTGCACACGGAGAGGGACGGCAGAGGGGACGCGGGGCTCCGGGCACACAGCCGGGAGCTCCCTGCAGCCGGCCCGCCGAGCCCATGCCGGGCGGGTGGATCCCGAGGGCTGCCCCTGGGGAGAGGATCCAGCACTGCAGGGGAAAAGCCTGGGAGGCAGGAGCCGCAGAGAGGAGCTGCTGTGCACCGAGCACAACTCCTCGTCCTCCAGCATCGCCCAGCGTGGGGCGAGTGGACGAGCCGGGATGAAGGACCGGAGCCTGGGGAAAGGGTAGGCAGGGAGAAGAAGGTGCTGGTTTTGTTTCTCACTGTCCAAATCTACTTTAATAAATCAGCACACCACAATGTGTCAGTTCAAGATGCCTACCGGAGCGAGACCACAAAGCTTTTCCACTTTCTTCAAAAACACCAAGCAAAATGGTAACACTTCTGCATCTTGAGAGTCAAAAAGACCATAGCAAGCTTCATATGTCCTGAATATTCACAATAGTGATCAGTGGATGGATGGCCAACATGCATGGGCAGCTCACCAGAGACACCTCAACACTATCAAGTGTTCTCCCAGTTGCTTATCAGAAAACAGTCTCCTTCTGGTGCATTTAGAAAATAAACTTCCTAGGGGAGGAGCAACTCTTATAATTTTCTTATGTGGGGTTTACACCTACTCATGACATCTGCACAATTGTTAGGGAGGAAGTGGATAAGAAATAGGCACTATCCAACAGACATATGCCTACGTTTTATACTTCTGCAGCTTGTAAAATATACTGCTAAAAAAATATAAGTTGATAAAGACTGAGTGGAAAAATAAAAACATCACCCAGAAGCTGTAATCTTCAGTGGAAAAACTGCACACTATATATATCTGAGATCCTTGAGACAGAATCCTTCCTCAGTGAACTCAGCTAACCCAGATTAAATAGAAATGCCACGATGAAAGAATTTGAAATGAAGCATTTCTAACTTGCTTTGCTACCAGTAAGAGTCTACCAATCTGAGCTAGAAAAGAACTTAATCTATCACATACCTCTCTTGTTCAAAAATTAGGTCCAGAAAACTTCAAATTCCTTGACATCTCCACTGTAATCTCAGGATGCTACACACCTTGCAGCCTTTCCAATTGCTACAGCAAGATCAAGGACAAACACTCCTTCTGTTCTAGCTTGGTTTTTTTTCCAAAACTTGTGAAACACAGCAAAGACTCTAGTTCTTGGACCTCAGACAGATCTACATTTGCTGGATTTTATCTAAGGAAACCTTAGCACTCTCAGTATATTCTTGTCCTTGATCCAGTCTGATGCAGAAAGTGTACCTGCACTAGGAACTTCAGACTTTAGAGTCTGCATCTGGCATCCCTGGCTCTGATATAATTAAATAAGAAAGGTCACACAAAACAATGATGGCCAAACCAATGCCCTTCGTTACCACATTAACCATGCACTAATACCTGTGATGTCCTAATACTACAATATTAAGATCTGTCACATTTGTTTGTTTAGCCCACTCCAGCCTATTATGTCTTTATTGCAATTGGCTAAACCACATGATACAAAATCAACAACCCAACACAAACTCTAATTCTGAAGATAACAAATGAAGCACAACTAGGAATAATATCTACTTTCCCTCTGTTCTTTCCAAATACTTCCTCACAGCCCTGCACACAAAAGAAAACAGGAGACCCAGAGTCAGATCATTTTCCTACATGGTTGAAGGACACATATACTGTAAGTCTGAGCATCTGCAAAAGGAATTTTGGAAAAGGATGTGAAACACGAAGCCCAAAGTTGTCAAACAAACCTAAGTAATTAGATTCCTTCAGGCATGTTTGAAACCCCCTGATTTTGATAGCCCAGTTTTTTTTTTAAAAAAAAACATTTCTGGGGGAATCGAATGCACCTTATGTGAATACTGAAAGAGCTGCATAAGCATCGACATAAACAGTAGGCTGTATTTCCTTACTAAAATAAATTTCAATTTCAAGCCCACTGGGAAGTTACTAGTGTAGTCTGCTTTTAATAAGAAGTTAACAATCCAGTATCTGTACCTGTGCCAGCTTGGAAAATTTTAACAAAAAGCTTCAGAAGCACTAGGAAACATCTGTGTACTTTAGGAAGCTCATTTTCTGAAGTGCTGGATTTCTGATTTGCCTTTTGGTCAGTGACAAACGCATAATATCTTCAAATACATACTATGCTTGCAAAAGAAATGGATGATAAAGAGGGACTGTCCTTTTAAAAGCAAGGTTCTCTCTTTCTGTTCAAACCAACTTGCAAAAAAGGCAGGTTTTTTTTCATCTTTGCAGCCTCACAGCACAAGCAGAATATTTACTAGGATATGCAAGATTGTATTTTTTAAAAGGTACCCAACCATCTGAGCCATATTCTATCAACAAATTTAAAACTCAGGTTCATTTTGCCTGTTCAAGAAGAAAAGAAAGCCTCATGAAACTTGAGAGAAGACATGTAGATGTGCTTAAGGACGTGATTTAGTGGTGACCTGGCTGGTTTAGTGCTGGGTTAATGGTTGGACTTGATGATCTCAAAGGTGTCTTCCAACCAGAACAATTCCATGATTCTATGACTTTGTCATCTCTTCTGAAAGTTTGAGAAGCTCTAGCAAGGATTAATTTACAGATTTGTAATCTGCTGGGAAGAAGGAACAAGTTTCTTCAACACAGATTGCAATTTCTTATATAAGAGCCTTCTGTGTGAGAACAGAAGCACAAGTACAGCTGTAATACAAAAAATACCATTGCCATTCCCTGGAAAAGCCAACATGGCAATTCTTAAAAGTTTGTAATTCTATTTTTATAATTTTCAGATGTACTACGATGCAGCATACCACAGTAAGAGAGAAAGGCCTCACATATGAACAAAAACTATATTCCACCTATCCAACTGTAGTCCTCTTCATTAATACTAATTACACAATAACTACCAGAGGCAAAATACGCACTCTATACCTAAATCTGTCAGCTCAATTAATTAAAATTAGTATTACAGAATTATAAAACTATAAACTGTAGTCACTTCTAGGTTGTTAGGGCATTTAACTGGATTTTATAAAAGAAATAAAATGATGTTTTGGTCCTTTTCATTAAATTTGTATTTTTCAAACAACATTTTCTAGTGTTTTGAAGTGTAAGTAATTTAATAAAGAGACTGTATTATTAAAAGTATTTACAATATTCTATTAGAAAAATCTATGAAGAAATATAAAAACAAATACAGAGACATTTTAAACTGATATCACACTGAAAAGTTAATATCTCCCGTTTAGAATGCCTTTATTTTTCATTAGCATTAGTCGTTTTAAATGATTAAAAACTGATGTCTCTAGGAAACAGCACAGAAAAGAAACCCAAAGGGCTGTATCAGCAGCTACTGCTGTTGTGCTTCACTTCAGCTCAGAAGGAACCACCCCTCAGCTTTGGATCCATGTCCATTAAGCTATCGGTGTCTCTCGCCAGACTGTTAACAAAGGTCCAATTATTGAAAATTTTCATTACAGATTTTGTGACCTGGACGTTTACACACCAGGAAATGCATGAGTTTACTTATGTAACAGCCACCAGAGAGTTATGGATTTCAGCCACAGATGACAGATTCTAATCTCAATGGTGCAGAGATCTATATCACTGAACATGTCATTATGCAGGAACAAAATTTTTAAGATCCATGACAATTCACACCACACATCTGGCACTACAGCTTTGCTTTATGACAGGAGCATTTTTAAGTGATAGCAGAACTATGACCTTGCTTTCACAAGTTCATTAAAAACATCGCTGCGATGTACGTTAGGCTTCCTCTCGAGCCCAAGGAAACAAAAAATTCATCTCTCAGTTTAAAATAGTTTGTAATTCTACATCAAAGGCACAGCTAAGGCCAACAAAAAAATGTCAGCAGTAAAGGAAAACGTTCTTTTGTGTTTAGTCCTGGTACCAACATTACCAAGCTGCTCCCTCTAAGCATGATGTCTACTTGGTATTTCTGGAAACACTGTAGAGTTAAAAACCTGCATAGTGTTTTGAAAATTCAACCCCATGTCTCCTTAAAATGACTTCAGTCAGTGACTTACATGACACTAAGTGAGGTAACATGGTCTACCACTACAATCTAAGTGTACACTAGGGCTTCAACATGAACTGCTCCATCATAGCATGAAGTCACTGTTTCTTGTCCTTCACAGCATGCCTGAGACTCAAGAATATGCTGCTTCAACTGCAAGCTATACAGCAATTCTAGACAACTCTTCCCGTGCTGGGAAGTCTAGCTACAATTTAGTGAAAGTTAAAAAGCATGTAGAATTAACAACGATGTTCTTACTTGCTAATACCTCAGCTGAAAACCATTTAATACCTTGTGCACTTCACAAGTCTGTGGTACATTACTAATCCTTGCACTGGTCAAGACATTGGGATTGCAATCCAACTGCTCTGCACTATTTGAAAATACAGTAGGTGAATATATTAGAGAGAGACAGAAATGAAGTTTTTGCTATAGATCAGTTAGCTATGAAATTTAATAATCAATTTGTTAGCACCTGATCTAAAGCTGTGATCTGTCAGCAGCCTCCCAAGCTGGCTGTGTGCAGCAGTAGATATTTCCAAGGGAATTAATTACTGATGATTTGCAAAGGTAAGAATAATATTTTTCAACAAATGTAGCCTGTGCAGTAGGAGGTTAAACAAACACCACCAAAATGTCAACAGAGTTCTTGGCTTTGGTGTTCTCCCATTTCAACTGTAATGAAATAGTTAACCAGAAATT